GGGGTCTCGCCGCTTCCTTAGTCCGCCAAGAGCCTCCGTCCTCTGCTCCCCCGGGCCGCGGGGGGTCCTGTCCGTGGGCTGGTTCGTCCTGGGCTCCGTGGGGCCGGGCCAGTGGGGGATGCTGCATCATCCCCTTTCCAGCCCGGGGCTGCGTCTGGACCTGTCTGCACGGGCCGCTCGAATTTCCACAAGACCCCGGGCTCTCGTGTGAGAAATCAGCGCCTCTGGCGGGGATACTGCGCTGCTCCCTTCGGGCAACAGGCCTTCTGCGCGGAAGGGCCCGTGCAGACCGCTCAGAGCAGTCGGTGTCTTTTTAATCTTTCCTTGTGTGGAAACCACGGCGTAGCCTCCAGCGTCTGTGTCCCTCCCTGCTAACCCTGTCCACTTCCACTGTGTCCTTTCTGAGCTGGGGTGACTAGAACTGGGTGCAGGATTCAAGGTCTGCGTGGACTGGAGGTTTATAGCCTAGTGATCTGTTCACACACAAAGGGGTGGAGCTTTACAGCTTGTTAGGACAACTCCACCAAGAGAAAGCAGCTGCGCTTACGGAAGAAATTCCTAGTACTGGAGCTTGGTTGCAAATCCGCTTCCTCCCTCTTGTGTCAGGGCCCCAGCGCCTGTGAATTGTTTTGTGATCTGTTCCTCCAAATTGGTGACGTGTGTCACTATTGGAGTCACCCCTTGTGCTTTAGATTCTGTGTAGTAAAGTCACGTGCTGTTTAGATTCATCTTAAAGACCCACACGCTCAGGGCTGGAACCAAAAATCCACCTGGGTGCATATCCCCTGTTGGAGTCGAAAACTTTCCGGGTAGCCACAGCTTCTGTGCAGCCCTTAGGAGGGCAAAGACCTTTTATAAGCTCAGAGTCTGAGCTGCCTTCCTGAATCTGTGGAATCTGTGGCTAGCTCTGTGTAGTTCTCCCTCCCGCAGCAGATATTCTTGTGTGCACATTGCACCAGCTCAATGGCTATTGGGTTGTGGGGGGAGAGGGCAGAAAGCGGGAGACCATCCCCCTGGAAGCTGGCCATGGCCAGTGTTTCAGTGTTTCAAGGGCATGTGCCGCTTCCTTTACTTCATGCCAGAAACTGATCTGAAAGACTCCCTGAGGCACAGCATCCCACAAGTAGCCAGGTGCTGTGAGGTGGGTGAGCCTGCATGTTTGCCCCTAGTGGGTGGCTGGGCAGTGTTTCCAGCTCTGTGTGTGTAGTGGGCAGGGCAGGGCCTGTGTATTCTGTGGCATTGGGTGCAGGTCCTGTCCCAGGATTGTGTGCCAGTCTGGCTCCAGTTTTCTCCCTAGCCCCCTCCTGCTGTGAAAGCAAGGCCGGCTGTCTGCTTCCTTGGCAGGACAGTTCATCAGTAGCCTTGAGAAGTGCAAACTGCCCCATTTGTCTCATGGTTCGTTTACATCTACCAATGGCACTTTGACATTTAGCTCCTTGGTGGCAGCAGAAACGTGCCAAGCCTTTGGTTATTTCCTCAACTCCATCAGTCCAGAGCATGCAGGGAAGAGAGGGGTTGGGCAGAGCTGGGTTGCTCCTGCTGGGCTAGAGGCCTTCCTGTGTGACTGGGTTAGTCACACATCAGCTGTTAAAGCAGCCCCCAGCCCCTGTCCAGCCCCTGTCAGTGTAAAGGGGCTTTCTAGCCACAGAAGGATCCTGCAGGGTGGAGCTGTGAGTGTCCGGGGTAGATAGATGCCATGTGCCTGTGGCCTGCTATTGTCACCTGCTGTGTAATTCAAATTAATGGAGGTTGTCTATCTCCTAGAGCTGGAAGGGACCTTGAAAGGTCATCAAGTTGAGTCTAGCCCCCTGGCTTCACAGCAGGACCAAGTACCATCCCTGACAAATTTTTGCCCCCAACTGGCCTCCGCAAGGATTGAACTCACAACTCTGGGTTTAGCAGGCCAATGCTCAAACCACTGAGCTATCCCTCCCCCCGTGTAGGTCCTTGTCCTCTTCCTCCTCCTCCTCCTTCTCCTAACTGTGCTGGGAGCAGCTGCTGAGAGCGCCCGGGCCGTGGCGTGCAGGCGGCCTGCTAAGGAAGCTGGGAATTCAGTGCCCACCCCGCCTAAAACACTGTCGTAGGGGCGAGCGGTTGGGTTCCCGACTGCACATGCTGCAGCTTGTGCTGGCCAGCAGGGACGTCTGTGTAATCCAGGGTCGCGCCCGCTGCCCCAGCCGTGCTATAGAGCTGCTCAGAATCCCAGTCCTCAGGCCTGGTAAGGGAGGGGTCGTCCAGGGATCCAGCCAGTGGCGAGCATCCCAGTGGGCCCGGACCGACGCAGAGGCTCCCCCCTAAGGAGAGGAGTCCCCAGGCGCC